ACTCGGCCGTACCAGGGCATTTGGGGGTAATCGGTAAGAGAAGCATCAAGTTGATTTGTTCATAGTGAGAAACCATAAGAAATCATATTGCAAAGGATTAATTCTTTATCGAAATGACGAATCGTACCATATTATCAATGAACTAAATTTCAGAATATCAACCTTATTGATCAGTTGGATCAGTTCATATTACATATTGGACGTGAGATGTGATTAATATGAATTTTGAAACTTATTCGATTTTTTCTGTAGACATTATATAATACATCGTTCAAGATGAATTATAAACTTCAAATGAACTTCTTAATGAATATTAAAAGAAAATATTTTTGTTAAATTATGATTTATGCGTGATTTTTCTAAAAGCCATTTAACTATGACACAGTTTCATTGACAATTGAACTGAGGCTAGTTAATAGGTATAGACCAACTGTTTAGGGTTTGGGTGATTAGCCCAATCAATGGTTAGAAATTGTATGATATAGTTCAGAATCGTTCGCAATAGCCCAATTTCATTCCCTCTCTATTATTCTTTAGAGCCTGAACCCGAAATCCCAAACTTTTTAATTAATTTTTTCTTATACTTAATCTTCTCTACTACTACTACTACCACTGATTGTGTTACTATTTCTATTACTCTGGGATTAGTTTTGATAATTTTATTTCACTGTGTTTATGTAGTATAGCAACTTGAGCCAATGTCCATATGCGTCAGGTCTTAGGTGATATATCAGTGACTGATTGATTAGATAGTTTCCAGAAATTTTGAATCAAAAGAAGAGTATATTCAATAATAAGTATCTTTCTTCTATTCGAATGAGTAGAGAAATTGCATTTCTACCATTTTGTGACTTAATATAAGCTACTTCTTAAGCATACTCATTTTAGAAAAGTTTGAATTGTTATAAGTCATTATTACTTTCCAATCGACACCAAGGTCAGGATTTTCAATACAAATGTTAAGACAATTCTACTGTATGGGACGGAAACCTGGAGAACTACGAAAGCAATCATCCAGAAGATACAGGTGTTTATTAACAGTTATCTATGCAAAATACTTCGGATCCGTCGACTGGACACTATTAGCAACAACTTATTGTGGGAGGGAACAAACCACATCCCAGTGGAGGAAGAAATCAGAAGAGAGCGCTGGAAGTGGATAGGACACACATTGAGGAAAGCACCCAACTGCATCACAAGGCAAGCCCTCGCTTGAAATCCTCAGGGCCAAAGGAGAGGCGGAAGACCAAAGAACACATTACGCCGGGAAATGGAGAAATGAACAAGAATTGGATGGAACTAGAAAAGAAGGCCCAGGACAGAGTGATTTGGAGAATGCTAGTCGGCAGCCTACGTTCCATTCGGAGTAACAGGCGTAAGTTAACCCAGTCACTATTACTTAACAATAAGTAATTTGGGATTTATAACCCATTTTATTAATTAATTAGCTAATATAAATAATTTTAGTTTGAAAATATTTCTCACCACACAGTGACATTAATTGAAGGAATATTTCAAACAAGGGATAACTGGAAAACAGCTTACGAAATCAGATATGTCCAATTTTAGAGTATCACTCCAGAACGAATTAGCTATCCAACACCATCTATTTCGGAATCAATAATACTGTTATTTGGTGCCGAAAACCAAATAAAATAAGATTCATTGATCTGCCTGGCAGATTTTTTTTAATATTTTCCATGAACCATTACATGTTAACCTATCAACAACAGAATACCAACCATTTGATTAATTTATGAAACATAATCAGAGAAGGGTTTTGTGGATGACAAGTTCCTTAATGTCTGTTTGCTGAACTAGTCAAAAGTAATTTTCAGCTATACAGGCGTTATTTGTGTAAGGGTTTGTGGTAATTATGGAGTTTTTAATTAACAACATGAATTGATCTAAATTAAACAACCAGGGAAAATTAGAATTCATTGAAGAGTTATTTTGTTCTAGTATGGAACTCCTCAACAATCTACATCCAAGGCCTCACTAGGAATTAATAACGTATGATTTTATTAGTTTAATTCATGAGTCAATTGAAGCTAGACCAACATGAAAAACCTGGTATAGGACTTCTCAGCAGTGCGCATCCATGATCCCGCCTCGCAAGATTCGGAGCAAGGACCTATCAGTCTCGTGAGCGAGCGCTTAACCACTAAACCACTGAGACGACATCCAACGGCGTTAATGTCTAATTTCAACCCATCCAAGAAGTTGCGCCACTGTCCACCAGTGTTTCCAGGTTTTCCATGGTGGTCTAGTCTCAATTGACTCATGAATTAAACTATTAAGTTATAAAATATACTTATTCGAAATAGTTGGATAACATTATAATTTGAGTATACTATGTTTTGAATTGTATCCTCCAAAACAACATTCACATTTACAACCAACAGATTGAAAATAATCTACTTATGTATTATACTGAAAGAGTTGACTATTTAAATATGACAATAAGAAATTCACATGGTAAAAGAAGTCGAATGAATGATAAGGTCTTATTTTACTTATATCATTTTTACTGAAGTCGAATAAATAAAAAACAAAGTACACGTTATTTTATATATATATATATGTATATATACATACATATGATTGTATATATTTTTTATATCACTTTTATGGAGGAACAATAATAATTTGATGAAACCAACCAGATAACGAAACAAATGAATCAATTTTAAAAACAAAAATCCTTTTTTTTTAACACGATCAATGAAAAATTATTCCACAGAGAAACAAAAGTTAAGAGAGAAAAAAAAAGTATTGAACTATTTGTATAAGAAACAGGATAAATGATGAATTCCTGGAAGAAATGAAATAAGCAACAGTAGTAGACTCGATTAACTCACTGAATTCACTCAATTTTGTATACATTAAAAAATAGGACAAGACAAATGAAACAAACAGTCCTTAAGATAATGACTACTGAAATGTCTTTTGTGCGTATTAGTGTCAATGATTAACTATTGATTAAGATGTATAGGGTTGTAAAGAATAGGTAAACTGAATGAAGATGAAAGATAGAGTTCATTCCAAGAATATGGATGAAGAAAACAGAATGAAAGTAATAAAGGCTTTAGGAATAAATCAAAGGGAAATTTGTAATCACAAATATATATATATATATATATATATATATATATACTGTTTATATTTTGAGTTTATTATTGAATACAAATGATGAGAACAATGAATTATTCTGTCTCTGTTTTTTTTTCACACAAGTAGTATATGTGTAAACAATTGTTTTTTTTTTTCAATAGAAAGAAAAAAAGGCGGACATATCATACCATTCATAGTATGGCAAGATTGTAAAACACACAGAGAACAGTATAGATTGCGTAATAAAAGAAAAATGAATAAGAGTTTAGTGATAATTTTATTAATTATCAAAATGAAAGAATAATAATAAACAGAAACAATATGTTTCATTTGTAAATGAAATCACACCATTGCATTTACACTGATTTACGTGCATACACAAGAGAATAGAAATAGACATACACAGACAACAATAGATATTCCTTGAAAGATCATGACGAGAACAAGGATTACAAAAGTAGTAATAATAATATAATCAATAGTAACATTGACAATAATTGTAATAGTAGTAGAAGTAGTAGTAATAGTAATATCACTGTTATCAGAAATGTAAATATTAATTAAGCAGGTTTGACCAATAATTAGCAATGTCAAACAAACATATAAACAAGCAGGTAACAACTATGCATTTATATATGAATATATATATTCATATATACCTTACTTTATGAATGAGTACAAGAGAATACAAAATAAGGTTGGTTTTTTTGTTATACAAAACAAAACAAACAAACAAACCAAAAAAACAGTGATCATTCGTTAATGAATGAATGAATTGATTAAATCGATTATTTTTCTTTCATTAGATATTTATTCAGTCTTAGATTAGCTTACATAATGAACAATTTTGATGGAATGAATAACTAATAATATATATCATTGAAATTAACTTCAATTATCCCAATCACTATTTCATTTTCAATATTAAACTTCACAAAATACCAACAACAAATAAACAAAAAAATAATAATAATTCAACAGATGTAATCAGTAAAGAACAAAGAATTTTTTAAAAAAAAAGAGAGGTGAATATTCACGGTTGATAAGTTTTATCAGGTAACTGTGTACAATCATGTTGATATAACTTTCATCTGATTTACTTATCATGATTAGACTAGTTAGTTGAAATAGTAGAAGAGGAAAATTTAGAAAAAAAAAAGATGAACCTGCCAACAGAAACAACAACAAGAAGAAGAGGAAGAAGAAGAAAGGATCATGCGAAACAGAACGTAAAGAAATGAAGAATAATCCGAAAAGAGAAAATAAATAAACAATTAGAATACTTAACATGTTTATATATATATATATATATATATATATATATATATATATATATATATATATATATGATTTTGCAAGCTAATTATATACCTCATAAACTATTATAGTTCGATCAAGATCAAAACTAAAAAGGGATACATAGAAACTAATAAATAATTAATTTTAATTAAACAAAACCTGATTAATAATTATGTTGTAATGAGAGGGCAATAAAGAATAAGTAAATAATTGATAATTGAAAGCACAATGGAAAACAAAACAAACAAAAGAACCTGAATTCTTACAGAGCGAAAATATCATTAAATTGTAAATTATATATGTTATGCAAAATGAGGAAATAGTTAACAACGACAAAATAACAATATAATGATATTGTAAATGTCGTACATACAAGCACATGGATAATAATAATAATAATAATAATAATAACAAAAAATAAGAGACAAATTAAGACTATAAAGCGTATAAACTTAATTAATTATAAGAATATATAAATTCCCTGAGTAATTGTAATGTAAAAGGTGAAACTATTCAATAACTAATTAATTCATTTGTTTTTAAACTAATTCGCACAATAGACACTATCATATTGATAAAGATTGGAGGAAAAATATAAGTTAATTGATGAAGGTAGTATATGAAAACATTGAATAGAAGAAAAGAGTTTGAAATAGAAATAATAATAATGATAAGACAAACAAATACCTGAGTTGTATATTGAATAACCCTGAGATGAGAATAGCATATATAATGTATATGCATATACTCTTAATATCCTGATGGTATTGTTTCTTTTTTCCAGAGTAATACAAAATTGATAATAATAATAATAATAATATAGCTACATAAAATATTTGTAGAACATTTAATGAAACGTTATAAGCCCTGAGATAAGTTAAATACAAATGTCATAAATGAGTTCAAAGAGTTCAATAGAAGTTCAAGCCTACTTAACATAATACAATATTGTTCCACATCTTGACATACTTATTTTTTAAACTCTAAATAATTTCGCTGATAATATTAGCAGTAATAGGAAGAGTTGGATAGGTAGAAACGAGGGTTTGGGCGGAGAGATTAAAGGATTTAGAACGATAACCATGATAATAATGATGACAATGATATTTCCAAAAAAAGAAAATGTGAAAACTTTTAACAAAAAGTTAAAAGATATAATTAATCTCTAGTCCCTGAGATGAATATTTGTAACTAAAAAAAAAAAAAAAAATACAGTGAACCACAATAAATTAATCCCTGTGACATGTAAACACATGTATGTATCATACATCATAAGTATGTATATATTTGAATGTAATGTTGTATAATTGATGGAAATGTAAGTAATTGACTGGATTATGATTTGCGTTTTTTTGGTTTTGGTTTTCTAATATGTAATGCTTAAAAATAAAATTGTTGGTTTTTAGAGAATTCCCTGAGAATTATAAGCATTGAATTTGCAAAGGTGAGGATTGAATACAAGTATATTGATTATAAAATAAAGTCTTAAGAATTGTTTTATTTCTTTCTGTATGTAAATCAATGATGAGAATTTAGATAGTCTCTATTGACAAGTTTTATTTTACATAATTTCCGGGGAGAAATTTCCTACAAATTGAAATAAAAGAAAGAAGATATAATAGTTATGTATGATAAAAGATTGTTTCATTGAATAACATGAAATTTTTAAGGATTTCTGTCTTTAAAATACTAAAGCCGTTACAAATCAGAAACCACTAACAAATATCTTATTCAATTTGAATTTTTCAGCATAGTGGATCATTGAATGTATACGATTTAGAAAATTAAATATCTATTTGAGATGCAAAATTTCATTTATTCTAACTTATAATGATTCGCATTAGTGAACATTAACTCCTCCTGGAGCCCCTCTGGGGCTGCTGCCGGTCCAAAGCCCGGATAAAGCAGGAAGATTGGGCAAGGGGTTAGCAACCGCACCCCGTAGAAAACTAACTCGCTAAAAAACGCTTAACGAACATTATTTCTCATTTCTTAATATTAAATATAATAACACGGATTTATTGTACCCAGCATTAGGTATTCGAATATAATTCATAAAAAGTCATGAAACAGTACCACGAAAAGTTCCAGAATAGTAGAAGTTGTAAGACCACCCAGAAGACAGCATTTTATTATCTTCACCAAATAGAATTATATTGTCTGTGTACTTATTCTAAGTCAATTTACAAAATCATTCCCTCTAAAAAAAAAACTACAACATAGCTTGATAAAAATAAAACCATATTTAAGTAGCATATCCACTACTAACAAAACTTGAAAAGTGACGAAATCTAGAGAACAATTACTATTAAAAAAAATAAATCAAAGAAGTGTGATTTATTTTAGACTTTTTATTCAAGCATTAAACCTCTTTGAAATTCATTTAATTTCAAAGTAACAACAAGAGGTATAAAACTAAACTATGTAAAAACATTAATAATGTTATGACAATAATGCGGTATTGACAACGTATTAAATTCTACGTTGTTGTTGACTAACTGACAATCTCTTATTTTTCTTGAGCAATTGATTAATTATATGATCTGACACTAGATCTATCCTTCCCCTTTTGTTAATATCGACAATGAACATATATGCGCGGATTTAAACAAAACAGAATCATATACGTGGTAGAAATAATAATGAGAACGACTGAACATTGAAAATATAGGGGAAAGGTAGGTATGAAGAAATACTGGGATTCAAAATCAAGAGGAAGATAAAAAGTGAACGATCCTGAAACATGTCAACCGAAATCTTCAACCACTGACTGGAGTTATCACAGAGACCATAACCAGGTGGTCTCCACCTACTAATATACCTTAGACTAACAGTCAATGACTTCGTGGAGTGAAAAGAAATGAAAAAGACGTAAATCAAAATGATTCGAAATAATAAATACATTATCGACAACTTTTAGAAAAGAAAGTGAACATAAAGAATACAATTTAGGACGAAAAAATGAAGTCAATAAACAAAAGGCATGGAATAATACAAATACTTAAGATTAAGAGGAATATGCAGAATGAATTTATTCATGTCACTGTCATCGGTCCTGAGTTATATTACCTAATAACCCCAAGACAACTGATTAAAATGATCAATAGGGTGGTCCACATCTCATGATATGGTTCAAGAAAACAGTTAGAGACTATGTTATTTTGTTCACCTCCCGACTTCATCTAGCTTACTAATACATCGACCAGTATTTTACGCTGAAATAACTGATAGCTATAAAATGTATTATTCGGTAAATAAAGTTACATAAACTCATCGATCGATTAAAATTTTTACATAATATCTTATGCTTAACTTCTGTACAACTTATTCAGTAGTTCTTCTATAAGCTATAAATATTATATATATATATATATATATATATATATATATATATATATATATATATATATATATATATATATATATATACCGGATACACTTTATTTATCACATAAGTGAAAAGTAGATTATTTAAGCTGTATAACTCACAAATTATAATAATTCACCAGATCTATGTATCTTGTTGTTCACATGATAAGGTTTCATTGATAGGTGATAATGCATTTAAATTATGCTTAGTGTCAGGAGTGTTATTCATTAGATCTGATTGTGAGATTGGTGAGGTATGATATTGTTGATGATGTGATTGCTGTTGGATTTCTGGTGTTCCACCATTTGAACTGATTGCATGATCACTTAGACCATTATTACTATTATTATTACTACTGTCAGTATTCATATTTGTCCATAAAGGTGGCAAACTTTCATTTGTACTACTAGGATGAATTATATTATTATTGTAAGATGTAGGAGTGTTAGAACGTGAACTATGGTTTTTAACCGAAATTACCGATTTATTTAAATTCATATGATCATTTTGATTTTGTGTCGATATCATTCCTGTTGATTGTACTGATGAGGTGACTTGACGTTGAGGTGAGGTTATTGCTGAAGAACACGAGTATTGAGATGATTGCAAAACAGATACTTGACTTCGTTGGTGTTGTTGTTGGGGTGATGGCACCAAGTAGTTTGTTGAGAGCATTTGTGTAGAAGAAGGAGAACAATCTCTGGAATTTGAATATGTATTCGAATTGGATGGATTATAGGTTATTGAATTATCATGATAATTAAATTGTCCAGAAAATGCATGTGATTGATTATTTAAAGGTGAATCAGAATTTGATGTTAAATTTGTAGTTGACGGATAAGATCCTCTCATATGAGATGAATCTGGAATTAAATGTGATTGTTGATGAATTTGATGTTGTGAGTTTTGTTTTTGAGTAACATCGTGTATTTGACCATCGGAAGAACAATGATCAATATTACCAGTTTGAATTCTATTTCCATTGTTATTATTATTGCAGTAAATCATATTTCCGTTAATTGAACAAGATGGTATCATATTGGAAATATCCGATCTGTTAATAGATTGATTTGGATAATGATGATGAACAGCTTGTGGAATAGATGCTGTTGAAGAACCATAATTTAATGGTGTTGTATTTGTGACATCACCATATGGAATAGCTTGCGGACAAACAGATGAAATATTTGGGCATATAGGATATGAATTACCTGTATGTTGAGAAGGATTAGGAAGAGGTGTTGATGCACCATGATTGGATATGGGTGCAGCAGAAGTATCTTCATGTGGAATATCATATGTTTCAGCATATAATGGTGCTAATCGTGTACGATACCAATTTTCTCTATACCATCGAATACATAATTGTACTTCATCTCCAACTGTGGTCACTTGATTAATCACATTTCGTACTTGCCCAATTAAGGTAGCCTCTCTTGGTCTATTACGTTCTAATTGCATACGTAGAGCAGCTAAATGATGATCTTGCATAATGGCTACTTTATTCGGTTCAATCAAACCATAACGATCTGATAGATTTTTTTAAAAAGAATATAGTTAAATAAATCCTACGTCTTAGGTACTCATCACAAGTAAAAAAATTGAAATAAATTATAAATTAGGCTAGAAATTATTACGAAATCATAAGACAGTAACAGTTTATAAAAGATGTTATCACAGTTTTGATATGATTCAATAACAAAATAATAATATCCCGCTATACTTTCTTGAATCTAATTTCCATAGTATCTACTATAAGTCAAATGAAAAGCTTGAAACTGACAAAAAGAGTTAGATATGACAAAAACTTGAGCCCAGCTTGACATTAATGATGTTGGTCGACACTAACAGAGTTATATCTCGCTGTTGTAGGAATTCTCGCTTCACTCAACAGGTTGGGATTTCGGACACCACTTTTTAGTGAAGTCTGAGACGGTCATGTATTAACATTAGTTTTTTCATACTGACCTCTTAAAACTCCCCAGAAGTCAAGAAATGCGCAATACATGTTTATTTAATAGATACCTTAAGTAAATTCTTGAAATTTATTTGTCATTTTCATGGACTGACAAAACATGACTGTCATATCTTTACTTCAAGGTTACTTTTAATCATATGAATAGCTTGTGGTTTCTATACATAAACCAGCTTAAAGTAGAGCTTGAGTCAAATTACCCCCTTCCTATTTTTTCAAGGATCAAGATTTAGTAAATTGGTGGATATATCAAACTTGGTTTCGAAAATGCAAATATTCTTTCTAAGAAATATCTTAATTTATACTATATCACTTGTCTTGTTTATGTTATCTGATCTGCCAGTATTTCTTGACATCTCTATCAGCCTTCATAACCACCACACATTGTAGAAATATCTAATGGAAAATGTCATCAAATATATATAACTGTACACGAGTTGAGGAGTAAAGTTATATAATTTCTAATTACAAAATACGCGAATGATTTAAGTTTAACTAGGAAGAACTGTCTAAATCTGTCATCAAGATAAATACAATTTATAATGTAGTGCATAATTGGGAGTTATAGTGAGAGGCTGTGATTAATGGAGTTCAACCATATCCAGTGTGAGATAAGTATCAACCTCAGGCAGTAAGAAATGTTCGCTCGGTGTTGTGGATTGATTAAAGCTAGACATGTACAATACTGGATGCCAACTCAGTAGTCTGGAGGTTAGGCGTTTATAGAGAGGACAAAGGTCCTAGATTCGTTCCCCAGTGGGATCGTGGGTCTGTATGGATGAGGAGTCCAATAGTAGAACGAAATAGATCTTCAGTGCTTCCTAATTTTTAATTCTTGTCTACCTATGACCAATCATCGATGTCAACTATGAAAACGGTCTAATTAAGAATGTAACAAATAACGAATACACGATTTATTAAACAACATAACTTTTCTTCTAATTCTACAGATTACTCAGATTATTATTACTATTACATTGTTGTTCTTTTTTCACAATTAAAAATTTGCTAACGACTTACTTGGTTTAGTGATGACAGCAGCACAACAAAGAGCAACTTCGGTGTCATTCAGAACTAATGAATTGAAATTTTCGGAGAACGAAAAAATTGAACACACAACACTCGGCTGATAAGGAAAAGAATGTAGTAAAACAAAAAAGGGATATTTTATTGTATATTTTTCTAAAGAGAGAATGATATACTACATATATAAATTAAGGAAAATTACGCTAATAGCGCCCTGTTGATAGGCGATTTCAAAGATAGTATATGTCACTTCAAGGAAAAATTAAATTCCTATTACTATTATTGGAAGATATTCACTGTACTGGTTAGTTAATGTAATTGAATAAGAATTGATTTTGAAAGAAATTTAACAAATATGTCACGATTCAATATATAATCAGTAAATGTTTTATCTAGCATATTCATTGATGACATCCAATTTGACGAAGTAGCTTGGTGGTCTGAAATAAACGCACTTACAACATAACCTGAAAGTTCTAGATTAGATCCTTGATATGGTTATGGATGAGAATTTTTGGTGAATCATATACCAGGACAAAATAATTATCCTGTGTTTTCTTATTTTCACATGGATTCCAAATGATCCCAATCCATGACAAACACTACTTATCAATCTCCATAAGTTCCCTCAAACAAATGAAATCTTAATTAACCAAAAACAGACAGAACTTGAATGTTAACCAACTCCAATTACACCAGATTATTTAATTATCGTAAATTATCGGCTTCTACTCAATGAAATATACATGTATAATTGGTGACAATTTGTATAACCTTTTTAAAAGTTGATCATTTATCGCTTATATCATTTATCAATTATCAAATAATAATACAGTACTAGGAACGTTAAGTTATAATACTGTATGCAAGAAATAAGAAGTTTTAGACAGATACATGACAAATAAAGCATGAATTGTATTAAAAGATTACATTATTATAATTATAATAATGGCGCCCATTTCACTTATTATATACATACTTACAAACAATAACAAACGGATGCAAAAACATAAACGTGTACACAAATACTAACAACAACAAAAAACTTGTGAAAAGATGTCTGTACAGAAATACACATACAAATATAGACAAAATACATTACTATTGTACATTGATTTTCTATTCGTACGTGCAATAAATTTGAATGTTTAGTACCTGGATTATTTATTATAAACGGGCACTAGTGTATTTCGATACAGCTAGTCATTATTATTATTATTATTATTATCAACATGGTGATGACATGAATACATATTTGTCATAACGACTATTGTATCAATTATATGTGTGTGGAGATGCGTATATATATATATATATATATTCACAAACATAAATACATTGAATGTTTCAATTAAATTTGTTAAAGGTAAACAAATAAATTAAGTCTTGTACAAATGAAAGCAACAATAATCAACCGCATTCATCTAGAATACACAAATATACATGTATACACAATTAATAAGGGAAATTTTTCGAGTGAAAATAGCCGGAAGTTGTAATATATATATATATATATATATATATATATATATATATATATATATATAATCTGAGAAATATTAGTAATGACACTAATGACTTTGGCAATAATATGAACTGTGACTTTATAATAGATAGTTCGATTAATGAAAATGTGTAAATATGATTATTAAAAATTGATCAAAACATTTCTGGTATAAATAAAATGTATTGAATACATGATGAAAATATTTAGTAAACTGAACAGTTGAATATGTTATCATGTTAATCAGAAATTCTATCAGATTTTTCATTGAAAGTATTATGTAACTGTTTGAATTGTGCGTTTACGTTCATTCAAATTGATAAATATAGTTCAGTATATATATTTATATTACTAATTAAATAGTAAACAGTTTACTAAATAAACATAAATTATGTGTAGCCAGTCTGTTTTGCAGAAATATCTTGTCGAAATTACGCTATAACAATAGGTATTGTCGAAGAAAAGTTTTAAAAAACTGCTTTTTGATTAATGTTATGAAGTAATGGACTGTGTGAAATTACTTATTGCCAAATCGTTTAGTCTCAGTACCTGCCTTATCAGGTTCTATTGATGAAATCGCTATACATTTACTGATCTAAAACGACTTGGCTTGGTGTTTGGATAGAATCGACAGAAAGTTCTATATCACGATTCCTAACCAGATATACATTTTGGAAAATCCAAAAAATACGAAAAATATGATACAACAGCATAGAATCGTTACTAAGGATATCCAAAATCATTTTTATTTGGTTTCATGAACAACGATTTAATTATCAACCTGCCTTCTTTAGAAACTGATATAGACCACTGGAAATGTATGATTTTGAATTACCAAGCGATTAAGGATAGTTTGAATTTTTATCAATGCAGTGTAGTAGTCTGGAAACTAGATATTAGGTCAATTGTATCAATCATCACGGTTATATTTAACCTAACATTCGTAATTCATTTATAATACAGTTTCCCAGTTTCGTTCAGTGTGACAAGTTAAACTGTCCATGTAAATAACAATAAGATAACACTAACGCGATTTCAACAAAACATCGATAAGATAACTACTTATAAAGTCTTTTATGTATAATTACTATCTCATTGTTGCATCTTTTTCATTATTTGTAATATCTCATGAGAATCACGATAAATGTATTTCAGTTACGACTTTATTTTACGCAGTTACCCCAAATCAATTAGATATGAAGAAAAGCATGCTATCCATGTGACTATTAATGTGATTGCAAATAAATCGTATAAATACAATGGAATTCAGTAAGAGCATTACTAGCTGGCTGATAATTTTTCACTTAGTTGAACAGATTAACATCAACATGGTGTGCCTCTACAAAAATATATGGTACCGCAAGTTTGATACTGTAGTAAAATATCAACAAACATATCATGGATAATTGTAACTTAGTCATTAGGTACAACTTGTACAGTTGGTTTTAAACAACATTTTTATATGTGAGAATTAAATAGTACAACTCAGTTAACCAAAATGAAATTGAGGGGCGAAGGGGGAATGTGTTTCGAATCTAGAATTGAATGACTCAGTCAGACGACTACAACGTAGGATCAGGCACTTATATGCATCTGTCCAAGTTGCCATACCGCATATAAGGAAGAAAGAATTAGTTGGTAGAAAGAAATATGTGAAGTGATTTTAATCTCATAGTTTAAGGGAAGACAGAGAGTGTATACACCTATGCTATTGTGATCGATTCTGAGCCATGTCACCCACTGTCTTCAACCATTGGTTACAATAGTCACGTGGACCCAATCAAGTAGTCTGCATCCGCCAACATGGTTGAGACCAGAAGTTAGTGACTTCAAGCAATGATGCAACGTTTTGGTTTGGCCGCCCCTAACTTTCTTACAATCATCCCCAACACCGGTTAGCACTGCGCGTCATGGTAATCGGTGTTCAGGCATGCGCAACACGTAGTCCAACCTTCTCAGTCGATGAAGATTTACAACCTCATCAACTGATTTACCATCATTCCCTAATACCCTGCGTCTAACCTCACTATTACTTACCCGGTGATCCCAGCAGATGCTGGCAATATTTCTAAGGCATCTGTGGCTAAATACTAGTAGCTTACAAGTATCTTCTACTCTTAATGGTCACGTTTGCAACTGTAAAGTAAAACAGAACGAACTGCCGCGCAGTATACTCGTCCCTTAATTGATAGACGGATATCCCGCCTTCGCCATAGTTGGTGACGTAAGTTGACAAAAGCCAAACGAGCTTTTCGAATCCGTGCTGAGATTTCGTCAGACACCAACCCATTAGGGTTGGTCAGACTTCCAACAACGACTAAAAGTCAAATGACAATTAGTTCGAATCCTGTTACAACTTTAAACAACAAACAATATACAACGGATATACACACACACTGATATATGATTAAAATAACTAACTCTTAGTTAATGTTATAAATAAATAAAATGCATACTTTTCAATGAACATCCGATTTTTCAGATTGTTATTGTCATTTGTATTATTATTATTCAAGATTAAATTATTAAAATTTAACTCGAAAGTTATTTCAGTACTACACTTATGATTATTATTACTACTACTGCTAATAATAATAATAATATTACTATTATTATTATATAGCTATATCATTATAAACAAAACTATTTATAATATTGTATACAAACATCTACCTCCAATCACATCATTTCAATCAAGTTTATTTATTTGCTTAATTAGTCAGTAATCAGTTGATTATTATTATTATTATTATTATTACTGTTATTATTATTATTATTATTATTATTAGTAGTAGTAGTAGTAGTAGTGGTAGTAGTAGTATTATATGTTTATTATTGAATATATCAAATTGTTTTTATAGTGTAATTTACTAAACTAATTATAATAAAAATAAACGTTAAAATGTAATGTTTACGCATCATATATGTATGTTATTTTTAAAAATGTTTGTATGAAAGAACAGTTCATTATTTTTTTTTAGTGTTTCAATAAAGGTTTGCTAGCTGACAGAATATGATTTCTCTATTAAAAATTTATGATTGAATTTCCAACTGAAATTAATACTTTATACTCAACTTTTGTATAGTACCATACTGTTAATCCAGCTACTGGATTGTAATAACTACACTCTGTGAATATGTTAATAACTGATAGGTATTTTAATTTGTGATCGATCATGGTTAGGTTTATTGAAATAATAATGCTGTAAATAAACTTAATGCCAAAAAAAATCACTTTAACAAAGTCGTACTAGGCCTCTCACACTCCAATATCTCTTGACACAACCACCAACTGTTGAGAATACAAAAGAAAATATAGGATTTATTCCCCCCCCCGCATACCGATTGACGATCATATAGAAGGAGTAATGTGTCGGTATTATTACACTTACAGATGTACTCATGGGAATCAGCCATTTAAAATGTGAGTACATCATACATGACGTATAAAAATTGGAAATACTGATTATAAGAGAAATCCTTTTATAAGATTTGAGGGAATATTACATTTCCTAACAATTTATCACATTTAATTAATTGATAAATAGTGATATGTAAGGTAGCATCAACACTACAAATAAAATCTGGTCCAAGAATATACATTTTAGATGTTAAGTAAATTTCAATTTAACCTGAGACTAAGTGGCAGAAAGTTGAGTCACCTCTCCAAAAATAGTACTGCCAAACTTGGCGAATTAAAATAGATCTACTGGGATGATAAAACTTATGGTCTAATGGTTGAAAGTTAAATGCTTAAGTTATTATGCTCGTGTCCCACACCTAAAGATTATTCATTGTATATCGATAAGTGATCGGATTACAATTACAGCAGTAAAAACAAAACAGATTTTATAGATTTCGAAACCCAGAGAAGTCAATAATTTAACGGAAATAGTTTTGTAACATCTTTCGACTACTTAAAAATAAAATTACAAACAATATGTCTGTTTAGTAGCTCCAATAGCTCAGTGGTAAAGTCTCAGATTGTGAAACTGGGTGACACTTGTTTGAATCCCATAGAAAGTATTAGTTCCATAAAGGTACGACATATAGCTCCGTAAGGTGCCTCAACTACCACAAAATTTAGATGCATGCTTCCCTATCACTAGATCCAACCATCACCTTTTATCTCAACACATATACACGATGTCAAGTCATTCAGATTGACTGATGTAATTCGATCACCGCTAAAAGGCTCGAAAAACACGATATTGGTCACTACTTAGTGATCAGTACATTGTATTTATTCCTGTGACGATGTCAAATTATATCAAAGGTTATCAGAATTCCTTTATCAACATCAATATAGGGTTGTGGACATTATTAATTTTTTTAGTCAGATCATGAATCGATTGATGTTAGATCACCATTGAAAACCTTGAAGCATTGGACAGTCGTTTCGTTCTAGTATGGGGCACCTCATCAGTGAGCATCCATGATCCCGCTAGCGGGACTCGAACCAAGGATCTTCAGTCCCGAGCGCGAACGCTTAACCTCCAGACCACTGAGCCGGCATCCAACGGTGTTAATGTCTAATCTCAACCAATTCATCAAATTCCACTACCATCTTCGATTGTACTGAGGGAGATACCTTTATATACCCGACACCGATTAGCTCCACTGGTCACGGCTTCTTACTAGGACTCTGAGAATTCCCTCACAAAGCTAGTCACTAGTGGGTACATTATCATTATCAAAACGAAACGACCGTTCAGTGCTCCCAGGTTTTCAATGGTGGTCTAACATCAATCGATTCATGATCTCAATCAAAAAAATTCCTTTATCTAGTTATCACTTTAAATAATTATTTATTTTTAATGTTAATATACAAGTGTAATGTCTTAAAAAGTATTTCTAACTATACTGAGTTTATAAATGGTATTATTTATTAAACCTATGTCAAATTATTAGAATTTCTCATTCACACACACGCACAACAGAATAGTCTGTAAAAAATTGTTTTATTTACAATTTTCACTGTGAAATACATCACAGAACATAGATTCATAGTCATAGGATAATAATCACAATGAAGATAGTTTTATGAAGAACTTAATCGAGAAATTCTATTCATATTTCATGTGAAAATCAAATCTAATCATAATTATGAAAAATCAAATGAAAAAAGTTAACGTAAATGGTAAACAGTGCGGGATCGTGGATGTGCACTGTTGAGAAGTCTCATACTAGAATGAAATAATTCTACAATGTTTCCAAGTGTTTAAATGGTACGCTAGTTTAAATTTACTAGTGAAAGAGAGAAAAAAATGACAACACAAAATAAAAATTTATAAAAGCACACTTACTGAATATATAAAATCTAATTCTTGTTTAGTAATTTGTTTCCCATCAGCCAATGTTATTTTACGATCATGTGTTGATATTAAACGTGATGCTTGGACAAGCCATACTTCAAAAAATGCCGCTTTAATTAATACTAATTGATCTGGTTGACCAAGTGAACTAAATTCAGGGATACGTTTAGCAAATTCCACAACTTGTTGTATACATGGTGCTAATAATTGACTTAATTCTTCATGCATACGTAATCGATGCTCATCCACTTTTTCAGGCCAAAATTCACGTGTTACATTCGACTGTGAAAATAAATAAATAAATAAATAAATAAAAATCAATCAAATAAAGAGATAAATAGATAAATATAGAAAGAATTAAATGACAATAATCAATATTCAAAAAAAAATTGTTATAACAGAACTTTATACATTACCAATAATCTAAATCTATCTGATTATGACATGAATATTGACTATTAATGGTAATAATAATATATATATATATGATTTATATTATTGATAATCGGCTATTAAATTCTTATTTTGATCAATAGACAAGTTAATATAACTATTGAGTAAGTAGTTCTAATTTGTAGTCAATAGTGTGTTTTTATATTTGTATAATTAAGATAGAATAAAATAAGAGTGAATTGTAGATTGGATTTCTAAAAAGAAAAAAGACTCAACAAGGAGGTTTAGATTGATCAGTTGTAAGTAAAATAGACCATTGGACATGTTCAAGTTACTCCACTATATCAACTATCAATATGGATTAATTCATTTGCCAATGACTTCATGGATTGATGCTGCTCCTGGTACAGCCGATGGTGGGGAGAGTCAGCTCTCCCTCTCCAAATGATCTCACATGACCACGCGTATACAGCCACTGCCATGGAAGTTCCACTCATTGTCTTCTCGCGGCACTACTGTTGTTTACGAAATTGAGAGAAGGAAAATCGAATGTCCGGCGATTTAACGGCGTTTGTGGATATGGATTTGGAAATCCCTGATTCAAAACCAATGGTGCACATGGTCTCCAGGATCCTGAAGGAACGAATGGCGTATGAATCTATCGTTTGTCACCGGTTACCATGATATTTCATCTCCCCAACTAGTATCACAGCCCACACACAAATCAAGTGACTTATGTGGTGCCCCTTTGTACCAATATATGTGTGTTCAAACAAATAAAAATAAGTGGACTGATGCTATTTATTGCTTCCACTGCTCCTGGATTTCTTCTAAATCATTTTCACATTATTTAGATGTTGAAAGAATTATGTTTTTTAGTGTTTCGATGCCCACATTTTTGATGTTGTAGACTCTATTTTCTCAGTTACAATTATAGATGATAGATGTAAAGCGATGAAATTTTAAAAAATGAAACGAATCTATTCACTAAAATAATAGACAAACCATACATATAAAAAACTGACTTTAAAAAAGAGGCAGCCACCGTTTGGTTAAGCATGTTTACATAATGATAAATGCTAAGAGACATTAGTGTTTTATGCGTTATGTAAACCATAGAATTATTCACAATAAACGTTATATACGTCAAAGCATATAAAACCTGTAACATATAATCTCCTAGTCTATATCTTCAGACAAAGTAGATCGTTGGCTCACTGGTTATGATATTCCACTTTCAGCTATCAAGTCCCAGGTTTGAAGCCCAATTTATCTACTTCGGTTAGATCAATCGAACAGTATCACTAACATTTAAAATTTCAGTGTAGCTGCTTAAAGTCAAGTGCACAAATCCGTACCTCGTAAATGTGTTCGTTGTTAGACGGAAAATTAAACTGTCATCATTCATATCATTATTACCCAAGGTAGTGAATATTTTTAAAAAATGACAACACAAAACATTCATTATTTCATCAGTTTATATAAAATTTTAAAAGTTGAATTCATGAGTCTACCTAAGCCAGAAAACCATTAAAAACCTGGGAGCACTGAACAGCCATTTCGTTCTAGTATGGGACCGAAGGTCTTGAGTCCCGTGTGCGGGATTATGGATGCGCAATGATGAAGAGTCCTGTACTTGAAAAAAACGGTCATCTAGTGCTCTGAGGTTTTCAATAGTGATCTAGCTTAGATCAATTCATGAATCCAACCATTAAAATTACTATCATCTTCATAAATCTCCATTCTTATATAAAATTATAAATGTACAATATAATGATCATTGTATGAGAAAATTTACACAATCCAAATTTGGTAAAGATTAGGAATGGATAAAATTTGATCATAATTATCATTTGTTTTATCTTCTCTTTTAATTTATTCACAGAATCTAGAAATTTCTATACATGACAAAATTAACGTTAATAGTTGAGTGAAGCATATAATTAACTGTAAATCCTTATAATATCATCAGTTTAAGTTTTATGAATGTAATTAAGTTGTATTGATCATTCCAGGTCAAATTTGATGATAGATTTAACATGAACAGTACAAATTTAAACCATTTCATTATGCTTAATCAATTAGTCATCTGCTGTTTTTTTCCCTCTCTAGTTAGAATAGGTGGGCTTTTACACTGAGCCCATTATCACTTTTTTTTAACTGTCTGTCAACTGTCATAAATAAATACAGTTAAAATATTTAAAATATATACTACTTATTTATATCATTATTAATAAAGGTTTGAAATTAGCCTGCTACTGAAATTCAAGTTTGAATTTCCATCAATTTTTATTTGTATATATACACATGTAACTTGTGCAGATTAGCTTGATATAGCATTTTTAAAATGAATTGTGGGTAGTACATGAATTCAAGACATACGTTTCGTCTTATCTAAGACTCGGCAGTTGGATGTACTCGCATCCTAGTGTCAATATTCATATGGTTACTTAAACCCAGTAATCAACATAGAGATCATAGGAACTATTTAATTCAAAGATTATTCTTTAACACTATGACTAACACAAGTTGAATAATCATTGAACTTAACGAAAGAACTTACTAAATAGATAATTTATCATAGTTCTTGGAACCCTTCAAACTGTGAGCAAATATAACCTCTTATTAAAAATCGAACACAAGACTAAAAACATAAAAGTTTTGAATTATAAATTCATAATAAAATAGTCTAATGATTTTGTATCTTCTATTAAACCTAAAGGTTTTCAGTTCACTTCCAACTGTGATCCATCAATGGATATGATGAATATGCTAGCATATCGCTTAGTCAGGATTTATCAGCCTATAATATGCAAACTGATGACACTCAATAATGTTACCAAGTTGACTATCTAATAAATAACCTGACTAAATAAGCGATTGATTATGCCAACATTTATATCATTAGTCTATTCCTGCTTGACTGTTTAACATGTATTAGACAATAATATCGTTATGGAATATTATCATTTCCATGCTTCATTATCAATAAACATCTTGACTAGCCTACAACTAGATGATAACATCTTGAGTCTGACATATGAGTGTATGCATTCATTGATGTATGTATCCATCTATAAATGTGTATGAATTAACTGTCATTGTTTAGTTATGATGTCCTTTTTTGTTGTTGTTGAAAGGAACACCAAAATGCTGATCAGACATCTGTCCTATGAAAATTCATTGGACAAGTGTCATTATGTTTTAAAAAATCTCCAACAAAAAAAAGATAAATAAATAAACACATATTGTTCCCTTTGCTTTTAATTTATTATTTTTTTTTAAAAAAAAGAACATTATTTATTCATAATACTACTAAATAGAGATGATAAACAGTAATAAATTAGAACACGCAAATTGAAAAGGGAATGGATTGTCAAGATTTTCTCTTTAATTTTGTTTAAATCAATTGTAAGACTTGATCATTTCTAAACTTAAACAAAAGCTAAACATGCATATTATTATTATTATTACGAAGGTATATTTGAATGATGAATTATTTTATTAAACACAGATGTATATGAGAGAAATAATAATAATAATGGTAATGTGATGAATATAATGGGAAAGTAAATGAATGGAAGATAACTGGAAGGGATTAAATATAAGGCAAGTTAACATTAACCAAGAAGAAAATGTTTTTTTTCTATAGAAATAATAAAAATGAAAAGAGAAAGTGGTGAGAAGAATGAGGGGGGTTGTAGAAACGCACCTATTCTGTAGAATATTTGTAAAGAAATAACTAAGGATGAGAAGAACAACTATCACTCTCAACAACTTTGTTATCAATGACATATTGGAAACAGCTCTGATGGAAGCAGGTGATGGTGATGTAGATCTGTTGTTTGGAGAAAAACCTTTCGATCAGGAGTATATACGATAATACACATGCAACGTAATAAGTACTTAATCATTAGATAATAACTCTCCGTAAGTATGGTATGTATGTAGTTGAAAAGCTTGTGTGTCTAGTTAGTTGTGTGAGCACTGATAGTGGCGAGACTAATGAAATCAATCTATTTTGGTGAAAATCCAGGGTGGATTGTGTTAAACTGGGCCAGTTTTGACTTGACTATGAGGTGTAATCTGGGTGTGAAAGGTTTACAACACGTTTGGTCAGAACATCTCTGCTCTATGTTTATAAAACCTGACCTATTTTCTTCAAATATAGTCCCTTTCCCTCTATTTTTCTTTACAGTGTTATCCCTACATTTTGTGTAATACATTCTTCTCTTTTGCTGTCCAATTGTATTAGATTTTATTTGCATTAAACAAAGAAGTAAAAAGCATGGCATTAATTCATAAAGTCATGACTTAGTCATTTATCGGTAAATGTAGGTTTCCTAGTCAAGCCTAATGCAATACGCGTAATTAGTGATTCAAACCAATGGTTGAAATGGTGTAAAACAGGTCGGAATAGAATAATTACACTTATTCTGTCTTACTTAAAATCTTAACTTTTCATTCTTCCGTCTCATTTGTTTGATTGTTTTCTTGAGCTGTATTTCTATTTAGATTTTCATTACAGTTTAAATAAACTAATCTTTCCTGTTATTCTTTTTATCAGTTTCAGGTGCAAGGCTCTATAACATGAACTCGTACAAATTTGTCCCACGTCTTATGTTGACAATGAATGGATGAATAACTACCTAACTCGATTCGTCGGGAACGAATAAAGGCTTTGTAATGCACATGATTTAGTTGATAACTATAATATTAATCAACAATTACGTTTAAAAAGGATTAAAAAATTATGACTTGTAAAATACTAATAATCATTTCTATTCATGTGCTAGAAGAAATTAATGAAAATTGATTATGATATTATCACCAGACAATTGAACTAACAGTATGTAGAAATACATGACAAAATAATATGTTATTAACAT